TAGTGCCATATATGCCTCTGTCTTGGTCTTCTCATTGGTGATATGGAGGTTCCTACGTAAGAAGCCAAGAGTAGAGTTCGCCTTCTTAACTGTCTTATCAATATGGACCCTCCATGACAAGTTGGTAGTTATCCATACCCCCAAGTACTTGGTGGTCTCTACATTCTCCAACTTCTGACCTTTCAGTGAGTAGCTGTAGAGCTGCGGGTTGCGGGATCTGGTGAACACCATGGTGTTACACTTGTCTGGATGGAAATCCATTCCCCATGTTTTCTCCCACTCCTCTAAATGGTGTAGGTCTTGTTGGAGTTGTTCGCAGTCCTCCCGACTGTGTATCTTTCGATAAAAAGGACACAGTCATCAGCAAATAATCTCACATGGCTATTGACACAAGATGGCAGGTCATTGATGAAGATGAGGAAGAGCACAGGCCCAAGCACACTCCCTTGTGGGACTCCGCTGATGACAGGTGCGGGCTCTGATGTGGCTCCTTCCACAACCACTTGCTGGGATCTCCCGGTCAAGAAAGAGCGAATCCATACATGAGTGTTACCGCGGATTCCACTGTGGTGAAGCTTCATGAGAAGTCTCTCATGTGGGACGCGGTCAAAGGCCTTGCTAAAGTCTAATACAACCATATCATGTTGGATACCTTTGTCCCATGCTCTTGCCAGGTCATCAAATAATGTGAATAGTTGGGTCTCACAGCTCCTTTGTGCCCGGAAGCCATGCTGCACATCTGATAATATGCTGTACCTATCCATGTGGTTCATGATGTTACTGACCAATATGTGCTCTAACAGCTTGCAGCATATGCATGTTAAGGAAACTGGCCGGTAATTTGAGGCTTTGTATCTCTCACCTTTTTTGAAAATAGCTGTTACATTTGCCTTTCTCCAGTCATTTGGTACGATGCCCTCAGACAAGCTTTTACAGAACAGTTGAGTGAGGAGTGGAGCAATCTCAGCTGACATGTCCTTCAGAACTCTGGCTGGTATAGAATCAGGTCCTGAGGCTTTGTTAGGATTGAGCTTCCTCAGTAGCTTGCATACTCCTTCCTCTGAGATCTTAATGTCAGGCATTTGTGGGGATGGTGTACCATGAGGCATGGGGATATTCTGGGTATCCTCTCTAGTAAATACAGACTCGTACTGGCGATTCAGAATATCCGCCTTGTCTTTTGCCTCAGAATGTAGTACTCCTCTGTCCTTTAGTGGTGACACTCCATTGCAGTCCTTCCTCATGGCATTTACAAACATCCAGAAGCGTTTTTGTTTATTTGGCTGCATATCAGACTCTGCGTTGCCAACTTCAATAATGTTGTTCACATAGTCCCAGTATGCTTTCCTTACAGCTGTTTGTACTTCAGATTTCGCCTGTAGGTATTTATCTCTGATCTTACTTGATTTCTTCAATTTCTGTTTGGAAAAAGC